GTCCCCATAACACCATGTACTTTGATCACACACTCACACGCACATACACTCCACGCTGCCACCCGCTTGCCATCCCACGCCCACCCACGCAAAGTGAGTGAGGAGTCAATGCGAGCTCGCCGCCGTGACAGACGTTGTTGTCGATAGCCACCGCACGGTCTCTCGGCGCCTGCGGATTCACGTGGGAGTGGGAGAGAGAACGTCGAAGAACCCAACCACTACCACACGCACCACGCACCACCACGACCACCACGACCACCACTATCACCACCACCACCATCGCCATACACGGTAGACATCACCACTATACCACCGCCACCATCCGTTTTGCCTATCCCCCAAAAAACGCCCTTCCTCCCCCAGGCATTGTGTTCTTGGTGCTGTTGTTGTCGTTGTTGTTGTTGCTGCTGCCACTGCTGCTCCTCGACCCTGTCCCAACCAGCTAGCATCTATCCATCCTCCTCCTCCTCCTCCTCCTCCCCCCTCTCTCTCTTTCTCCTTTGACAAACGCCCACATCATCCCCCCTCCCCCACAATACCATACACACTCATCCATCCTACCTCGCCCTCCCCATCGTCGCACGCGCAGCAGTTGTCCGCCTCCAACCTCACATTTCGTCCCACCTCGCTTCGCCCTACCTGCCTCCTTGTCTCGTCTCGTCGCTGCGCTGCACCGCCGTTGTTGCTGCACAGGCCACGCTCCCGCCCCGACGCCTGCTTGTACCACGCCTGTCCCTCCCCAGTGACGCCGCCATCCGATCGATTCTGAAGCGCCTGCAGCTGCCCACCGACACGCGCCCTTGTGCTGCCGTGCAAGCTGCCTCCGCCGTTTGGCTCCACGACAACCTCGCTGCTTCTGGCCGCGCCGCCTCCCCCTTCGTCCCGTCCGTCTGGAGTTGCTGCCCATCCGCAACTTCCCCCCCGAGGCCGCTGATCAGCTGCGCCTGCAACTGCGCTCTCACCAGACGACCTCTGCGACGACGTGGCGATAACCTTGCCCAACGCAGTCGGCTGGCCTCGACAGCGCCCCTATCCTTTATCTGTGCCATCCCCCACGCTCTGAGCCGTAGATTCTGCACTCGACCTGCTCTACGCCCGACTTCGCTCCACATCCACCATCATGGCGGGCAAAATGACTTTGTACAAGCTGGTGGTGCTTGGCGACGGAGGTGTGGGAAAGACTGCCCTGACGATCCAGGTAGGCCCGAGCCCTTTGCAACCCCCCCCCCCCCCCTTGGCCCATTTTTGACATGTCTGACCGCCTCACTAGTTGTGCTTGAATCATTTTGTGGAAACATACGACCCCACCATCGAAGACTCGTACCGTAAACAAGTGCAGATCGACGGCCAATCATGCATGCTCGAGGTTCTCGACACAGCCGGTCAAGAAGAATACATCGCCTTGAGAGACCAATGGATACGCGACGGCGAGGGGTTTGTGCTCGTATATAGCATCTCCTCTCGCTCCTCGTTTACTCGCATTCAACGCTTCCACAGCCAAATCCAGCGCGTCAAAGAGACTGCCATGGCAGGCTCACCCACCTACCCAGGCTCACCTATGAGCGCATCTGCACCCATGTACGGCCATGCGCCTGTCATGCTCGTCGGAAACAAATGCGATCGCGTCACGGAGCGTGAAGTATCCACACAGGAAGGCCAAGCCCTGGCGAAGGATCTCGGTTGTGACTTTGTCGAAGCCTCTGCCAAGAATTGTGTCAATGTCGAAAAGGCCTTTTTCGACGTGGTCAGGCAACTGCGTCGACAACGCCACCAGGGTGGCGGCCGTTCGCCGTCGGATAGAAAAGAGCCACGTGTACGTCAAGAGAAAGATCGGTTGCGAGGCGCAAATGACCGTCGGGCAAGGGTTGCAGGCGGTAATGGCTACGGAAACAAGCGACAAACTAACAAGCCAAAGTGTGTGATTCTATGAACATACTTTGGTGTCGTTTGCACACATACCCCGGCCATTCGACACCAAGCCTTCAGCTATACATATTCTTTTGGATTACACAGCACAATCATGAGCCTACGATATATTTTCTCATCGCCGCCAACCATACCACTGATAGAAAGCAAATCTTCACACCCACCGGCGTCGGCATAGGGGCGGCGTTTCGCATTGAACCACTGTGTTGTCTCTCTGTCTGTCCTCTCTTTGGATTTTTCTCTCTTACTCCTCTTTGTTGCATGAGACCCCCCTGGAGTTCTTTTGGGAGTGTTATCTGTTTTTGTCGATACAATTGGTACTCTTTTTTTTTCTTAATGATCAGGAGATGTTCTGCTGCACATGTGCTGCGAGAGATTCTACGACGTTGTCACGGCTGGTTGAGCTTGATTCGCAGAGATGGACGAAAGGGCAGCGGGTGAGGGAAGGAGACGTGTGTGTGTGGATGAGGATGTTGAATGTAGAAAAGGACAAGGCCAAGGGTTATGTCGACGATGTCTTATTGCTCGTCAAAGTGTCTTTTTATAACCCTTGCGGCCGCAGTGTTTGGATGGACAGCGGGGTCGAGGGAGTGAACAAACCTGTGTGGGCCGGCATCGATTATTGATTGATTCTTGTTCAAAAAAACGGTCGGGTTGTTGTCCTGGCCGGTCGGATTGGGTTTGGGATATCAGAAAAGTCAGTCATGGATATACACATGTATGTACGTATGTGGGGGGGTTGTTGTTTTATTTTCTTTGCCTGCTTCTTTTCTCGTTTTTCCATTTTTTTTCTTTTTTTTTCTTTTTTGCCCTGTTCCCTTGTTTTTCCCCTTAAAAGGCAAGCAGAATCTTGGCCTTTTTTTCCCGTCCTCTAGGGGCTCTTTGTTGCCTCTTCCTCTTCCTCCTCTACCACATCTACTTCTTCTACTTCTTCTTCCTCTTCTTCTTGTGTAGAGCTGCGAGTCCAAAGGAGATCAATTATTCATTATTCAGACGCTTCACCTGTGCAAGAAAGTGTCTTTTGTGCCCCGGGCTGCTGCTTTGTGTATGTCTCTCTCTGCCTGTGCCCCTGTACCCCTGTGTCCCAATCTCTCACTCGCAGTATACCCCAAACTCACAATCACCGTACCAAAGTAGTTGAAAACACGCATCCTCTCTCTATTCATCCTCGTCAGGATTCGACACTGCACACGGCACATGATATACATGTCCTTCTTTCTCCCCTTGTCCCCACTCTGACCCATCATCTCGGCAATTCCCACTCCCACTCCCACTTTCACACCCGAGAAGAGAGGAGAAATACCGTTTCTGGGCATGTGCAAGTCATCCCGTGGGTTGTGCGGGGTCATGAAGAGAGGGAGAGGGAGAGGGAGACAAGGTAAGGATGGGGACCTTGGGGAAGTGGGTAGATGGGGTTAATTCTGAATCATGGTTGAATCGGCGTCTTTGCCGTTGTACAGTGTGGTGTAATTTCTTCTGGCACAATGTATCCACAAGATCATGCATGCTATGCCATCTGTCTGGCTCTTTCTCAATCCCAATCCCAATCCCAATTCCGACTCAAACCCTACTTATCTTGCCCATTCCAAAGGACCTACCCACTCCACATCCCCCAACCCCAAAACATTCACCCCGCTACTCCGCAACCTTTGCCGCAATCTTCAACACATCCTCGACACTCTGCCTCGCAAACTTTGGATCCTTCTTAACAGCCTGCCAGACCTCACCGTGCCTGGGTTCAGCCATGCCCACCTTGGCCAACACCTCCGCCTTCTTCTCCTCCGTCCCATGCTGCTCCAGAAACTTGTAGTACCAGACCCAGCCATCACCGTAATCCGGGTCCAGGACCACGGCCTTTGTAAACCACGTCGCCGCCTTGTCGAGCCGGCGCTCGGCCCAGAAGATGCGTGCGACGACGACGAAGAGCTGCGCGTCGTTTTCCACCTTTCTGATGGCTTCGAGGGCGCGGGGTTTGCGCTGCGTGCGCGCCTCGAGGTGCATAATCTTCTCGGCCCAGAGCAGGCCCGAGTTGGGGCATTCTTGCAGCGCAATGGCCATGATCTTTTGCGCGGCCGGAATGTTTTGCTGCCGGCGTTCGAGGCGGACGGCTTCGCAGAGGAGTTCGGGGTTCTTTGGGTTTTGCTGACGGCCGCGATCGAGTGTCGACCGGGCCTTGACAATCGCGCCTTGTTTCTCTTGGATGCGCGAGAGGAGAATGTAGAGGGTCGGGGATTTAGGAGCTGCGCGGGTGCCAATGTTGAAGGCTTCTTGCGCTTCCTTGAGCTTGGACAGCTGTTCGTAGATTTGGCCTTTGACGGCGTGGAGTTTCCAGCTATGGGGCCAATTCTGCAGCGCTTGGTTGCAAATGTCAAGCGCGACTTCAAAGTTGCCGAGTTGGCGTTCGAGCACGGCCGACTTCATGAAGATGCGGTCCGTGGCAGCGGATTCTCGCGCGACTTGCAGGAAGCTCCGCGCTTGGTCGTAATTGCCAGCGTCTACTTCAAAGTCGACTGCCCGGGTGTACAAATTCTCGTTGCCCGGCAATTTCTCAAACGAGCGACCCAGGACTTTGCGGGCGCCCTCGGGATCGCCAGACTGCCACATCTCTCGAGCGTACAGCAGCCATAGTGACTCCGAGTTTGGACAAGCGGTGACTGCGCGCTCAAGAACACTGAGGAGTGACTCAGCCGTGCCATGGTGTTTCTCAAGATCGGCAGATGCGTGCCAGACAGTCGTCGAGTACGGGAATATAGACACTGCGTGTCCAAGAATCGCACGCGCGGTTTCGAATCTACCCCGACTTGAAATGCTTTTGGCATCCTCAAGCCAAATGTCTCTCCGTTCATCGTCCTCGTCAAGGCCCCAACCAATCGTAGCCTTGACTATTGATGCGGCTGTTCCCTTGTCACCCTCTTCTTCACAAATCTCCGCCTGTGCTAACCATTCTTCACGCTTGATCATCGCATTCTCCTTGATGAGCGCTTTGACAGCGCGCTCCATGATCCTATCACACATCTCAACTTTGCCAAGCTCTTCTTGCAATCTGCAGGCGTGGATCCAAATCGCCCAACTGGTGGGGATCGCTTTGCGCGCCTTGTTCAATACTTGCTGAGCAGCCTCCGCATCACTGACTCGAGCATAGGAGATCCACAGCTCTTCAGACAGCGGCACAGTCTCCGTGGCTTTTGCAAACAGGAGTTTGACGTTCTCAATGTCTTCAGTGTCATTGATCAGCGTCTTCCAGAGCTCCACTGACTGTGGATTATGATCTAGGGCTTGTCGTGTGACCTTCTTTCTAGCAGCTGGAGTCTGCTCGAGATCGATCGCTTGTTGCCACAGCCTAATAGCCTTGGGATTGAGTTTGATACCGTTCGCTGCGATGATCTTTGCGTTATGAACATTTTCCTTGTTGAGCCGAATAGCTTCTTCCCACACAACAATGGACTTGGGGCACATCTCGCAGCCTTTCTGAATAACCTTTTTCGCGGTATGCACTTTGCCAGCAACCTCTTCCAGACGTGAAAGCGCAACATAACCGGGACCGTTGTGAACGTTAGTCTTGACAGCCGACTCAAGCAGTACTCGCGCACGGTTGATATCTTCTACAGGAACCTCATCACCCATGGCTTGTTTCTTATCCAGCGCTGTAATGTAGCCTTTGGGATCCACACTCGTCGCTGTGCCCGAGGTAGTCGTCTGTGTACCTGGCCCGTTCGATGCAGCCGAGTCCAATCGTACTGTAAGCGCAGAAAGTTGAGCAGCTCCGATGGATGCAAAGTTCGTCATTGTGCCCGAATCGGCATCATTGGCAGATATTGAAGTGTCAAGCTCTCCCGACTTTGCTGCAGCCTGGAGAACGCTGTCCGGCACTGCATATGAGCGCGAGTTCGCCATTCGAGCTTCGCGTGCGCGTTTTGCCTTGCCCGTCATATCTCCTACTTCAGGCAGCGCTGCCCACTCTTCTTCAGAAACGGAGCCGAGCGCTCGCTTCAGATCGGCGAATTGGAGTTGGATCTTCGGATTATTCTTTTCGTACTCGTCGCGTTCTTGTTGCTCGCGGGCTTCCCTAGGTAGGATATCGGTATCTGTTCATATAGAAGGAACGATGAATACTTCTACAGCAAAGATAGGGCATAGGGGAGGTGCTGACGAGTATTGAGGGAAAGGGAGGGGCGTTCACTAACCTGCGGGCTCTCCTTCGCTTGTCCATCTTCTCATCTACTTCCTGATATATCCTGTCCGCCTCGTCGTCTTCCTTGTCGTAGTTCATGCCACTCGAGAACAGACCGACTTCGTTATCAGGATCCTGAAACCGATCCTCTTCGTCATCGTGCTCTTCCTCCTTCCTCTCCGTCACGCCATACGCCGCAGGAGCTGCCTGGCCTAGCGAAGCCGCACGCTTGGCCAGCATCTCCTTCATCTGTTCTTCCGAAGGCCCCTCTCGTGCGGGACCCAAGTCACTTCGCGTGGTGAAGCCAGTGGCACCACGCCCGAGACCAGCTACGTAGTTCTCGGGCGCAGGCATCGAAAGGAAATCGCGTCGTCCACTCATTTTGGCGGCGGTGCAGATTCAAGCTCTGGCGAGCATGTGGACCTTAGCAACAGCCTTGGGCGGTCGCGTAGGCGTTGCCAATCCGTACGATTTTGGCAATGCTGCTTGAGATGGGGACGAATTCGGAGTTTTGTTGAATATAATATCGCTGGAAGCGGGGTAGGGGGTAGTAGCGAGTATTATATCACTTGTTGGGTGCAGGCTTGTTGCTCCGCGTGGCCGTCGCGATCGATAAATTGTCGAGCTAGCTTCCAGGCAGATCTACGTCACGTGCGTCCCACCACAGACGGACACTAACCAAAAAGGTGAGTTTGCGACAACACTTGATGGGAGCTCAAAACGCATGCTCTACTAAGGAATACTGGCAAGGCTTTAACATAGCCTTGGGTATATGACAAGTTCAAAGACCACGGTTGGTTGATCACAGTGTATTGATCATAGGTGTAGCGTAATTGCGATTTCATGCTTGCTATTATACATGACGGTGATGTCACACAGAATCGGAGCCCTCTCTCGTAGAGTATACGAGAGCTGCATTCACTTGTCATTTGTCATTCGCCGCACTCGATGGCTGCGCATCATGCAGAGCAGCACTGGGCGACATCTTTGGCAGTGGTGGGACCGGCTCGACCGGTTGTTCAGATTTAGCATCGGCCCTCAGATTGCGCCCGCTGGAACCAGGCAATTAGTCAACGAATCATGCTTTAACCCTAGGTGTTCTTCTCACCTCTTCGTCTTCTTCAGTTTGCCCCCAAACCACTTCTTCAGACTCCTGCTTGTGGACGGGCGCTCGATTTCCTGAGATTGTTTCCCGTTTGCCTGGCCAACGCTGCTTCTCTGACTCGTAGGACTAACGAGGCTGGCATTCGGTGTAGTGTCACCATCGTCGTCCTCGAGTGGTGGTGCCCACCTTTCAACATCGCCATTGACCACGATGAACCAGCCAAGTTTCTGATCCGCCGCAATTTTATCCCGTAATTCTGCAAGGGCTGCCCATTGGTCATCTGCTAAGCCTGCACCTCTTATATCGTCCACATCCACCCCGAGCTTGACTTCGTGCACTATGTCGCAGACGTAAGCATAGGGTTGATCCTTGACAGTAAGGTCGTCTGGGTCGTATTGCTCAATGAAGCGCAAGTCGGGTAATTGCGCCATCTCAGCCGGCCATTGTTCTTTGAAATTCTTCATCATGCATGCTGTTGTTGCAGGGGCCATGAGCCATTCCGGGGCTGCATCATCAAGGTTCTGAAGAATGATATGGATTCGGATTTGAGCGCGCGGCCAGCGAAATCCGTGGACCAGCCAGGTAGGCATCGTGATTATGGATCTTGCGAAGCTAGATGGGCTAGATTGTGCTTTCAGGACGCGAAGAATCCTAATAGATTCAGTGGGTGGAAATCGTCCCTAACAAACCTTTTGGCATGAATGGTACATGGTCATGTTATTCAAAGACGTTGGGACAGAGTACAGGATGTGGCTGGGAGCCGTTATGACACAAAGCTTTGGGCGCAATGTATCGAAATCAAAAGAGGGTGCGAAATGGTATCAAGGTTTTGCCCCAGACATGGTGTACAGTTTGTTCACTTGAGCAGAGAGCCGTCGATCGTTCTCGGTTAAGGATAGGCGCATACCATGTTGCGGGGGATCAACAGGCATGTCCGCGGTGGAGTGTGCTCGCAGCTTGCACCCTCTTTAAGTGAACTAACGGCAACACCGGTAGCTCCCGCTTGACTTCCCACCAGCTGGTGATCATTGACCATGACGCGTATTCAGCACTTGATTCCTATATAATAGTGGATGAACGCAGGAAGTTGTGGGAACACCAGACATTGCTACTCATCGTCAACATGCCTCTGTACGTTGAGTGCATGCATCGCCATGTGTTAAGCTTGCTAATGCTTTGACAGTCACTTACTGGGCAAGAAAGTGAGTTGCATGATCACATTCCAACTACGAATTACAGCTTACATCTTGTAGTCATGGAACGTTTACAATGCGGACAATATCGCGCGAGTCAAGGCGGACGAGGCAGCGGCTGCTGCCCGCGAAGCTGCAGACGAACAGCGCATGCAGGAACTCGATGCTGAGCGTCGCGCCGCTATACTCCGAGGTCGAACGCCCCCTCCACTACCAGAATCAACCACTAGCGATGGTAGAGGCCAGAGACGCGCTCGAGATGAAGGGGGTCGCGAGCGAAAGAGGCGGAAGCTGGCTGGGGAGGACGACACAGACATGGACATACGGTTAGCGAGCAAGGCGTTACCCAAGACTGAGGAGTACAATGAAGCAAAGATCCTGAAGCTTCGAAGTACGCTTAGCGATGCGCCTCTCACGGATCACGCGGGCCATATTGATCTCTTCCCCGTCGACATGAAGGAGGCTATCAAGCGTGAGAAGAACGCCGAAGTAGAAAAGGAGAAGCGGAAGAAAGAAAAGGCCCTGGAAGACCAATACACTATGCGCTTGTCAAATGCAGCAGGTAAAGGTGGAATAAGTCAGCCATGGTACACTGCGGACCAGAAATCTGCCCCCACCGCAGGCAAAGATCAGGAACTGACCGCATACTCTGGCTTCGAAGAGAAGGATGTGTGGGGAAATGAAGACCCACGGCGAAAAGAGAGACAACAGGCTCGCATCTCCACGAGCGATCCATTTGCGCTCATGCAGAAAGCTCAGGCACAGCTACAGAGGTCGAAGCTCGATAAGAAGAAATGGGCCGAGGAACGGGATCGAGAGCTGCGAGAGCTACGAGCCACACAGGAGCGTGAGGCGCGGGGAGGGGGGCACAGAAAGAGAAAGACAAGGCACGAAAGCGAAGAAGAGTTTACTTCAGAAGGACGGCAACATGTTGTCAATCGTCATAGGTCATCGAAGAGTAGGCATCGAGATCGCAGTCGTGGCCGGAGCCATGATCGTGATCGCGAGAAGTGTAAGCATAGGCATTCACATCATAGAGAAGGCCAACGAAGTCGTAGTTGCGACCGAAGCCGACGTGATTCAGATGTGCATTCGTCTTCACGGCGGGATTGATAACCTCGCAGATGAGACAAGTCTGATAGATAGGGTGTCGACAATGCAAGATTCCCTCGCTTGTTGATACAAGCTGATCCAATAAAACTGATACCTCCATGCCTACCACCGACGTGTGGCCATTAGTGATGAGCGTTATCTCGAAATTTATACGGAGAAAGATCCTATGCGTGATCTCATGCAGCAGCTCCGAATCATTGACACCATACATCTGTTTTATTCATCCCAACAAACAACCATTCACATACTCAATTCCACAACCTACTGCCCCTTAGGAGTCTCATAAGGACCATATCCCGGCCGTGGAAACTTTGGTGACCCATCGTCGTTCCACTCAAACTTCTGCGCCCGAATCGACCTCGCACTCCACCCATTCGTAGGGTCCCGCATCCCATGATATACAATCCAGTTCTCACTGCCATCCGGCGATGTTGTGAAAGAAGCATGGCCAACACCATATGCAGACTCGCTCGGGTTCTGGTAGAATATTGGGAAAGGATGCTTACGCCAGTTACCAGGATTCATAGGGTCATCGCCTACGAGTTCGAGTTGAGCGAGGCAGTAATTGCGGTTGTCTGAGCGGGCTGCGCTGTAAATGAGGAACTGTTGGCCGGTGGTAGGGTTGGTGAGTTGTTGGGGGCCTTCATTGGAGGAGAGGCGGTCGTTACTGGTGCGACCGAAGGGCGTCTTTTCCCAGTCGTACTCGGGGGTGGAGATGATTTGGCGTTCTGAGAAGGGGGAGGAGACAGTGTATGGGTTTGCCATTTTGGTGATGCAGAGGTTGGCGGGCCAGCCGTCGTACTGACGACGCCAGCAGGAGTAGATGTGGTAGAGTTGGTCGTTGTGTTGGAAGTAGGTTCCGTCGATGGCGAATTGGTTGTATGTGTCGAGTTCCGATTTGTACTGGTAGGTGGCAGTCCATGGGTCGGAGCCTGTGCCTTCTACAACGAACACACGATGGTGGACGGCTGGACAGTTGTATTCACACCACTTTTGGAAGGTAAGCGGTTGTTCTCACGGGTAACAAAATGTGACATTGAACAGTACTCACCATTTCAATCTCCGGCGGCGGAGAGTCATTACGTGGATCAGCCGTGAAGATGACATACCACTTGCCGTCGATGTTGTGGATCTCGGGAGCCCAGAGGTCCGTGGAATAGTTCATGCCCGGTGGTGGGCTGAAGACAAGCTTGGAGTCGGCATCAGTCCAGTCTGTCAAGGACTTGCTACGGAAGAGTGTAATATCCTGGTTGTTAGTGTAGGTGAGGTAGTAGTAGTCTTCGTAGCGGAACATCCATCTTTTGAGGTTAGCTAGACCCGTATTCTTCATGGGACAAGTTGTGGGCTTACGGATCGGCTCCAGCGTCTACAATTGGATTTGTAAAAGTGGCTGGGGCTGTCGTATTAGACGGGGGAGCATAGCCTTGACAGATGCCTATGGCTGCGAAAGCTGCAAGCAACAAGAGCTTCAACATCATGGTCCTGTTCCAACAATGGGTCCAGATAGAGGTTTTGAGATGTATGGAGCGAGTGTGGTTGGGTGACGATCGGTGAACTGCACCACATATATATACCTAGTCAGTGGGGCGGGAGAATGGGCACCAGCAAGCAAGGCAGATATGGCATCACGGGATGTGCGCGGGAACGCTAGGTAACATGGCGGGGGTCGTCAATCCAACAATCGCGATTACATCTGCATTGCAGCTTCATGATGCGATGATCATGATTCGGAGATGCAGAAGGGTGGCTGTACCGGTAGAATCACACAATCACACAGTCCAGGGTCATCCATTTGCGCTTGCCTGGACCTTGAAGCCGATGCCGAGCATGTTGACAGGATCTGCTGTGAGACGTTGTACTGACGGCGTTGATATCGACAGACTGGAATGCTCACGCGTTCATCGTCGGCCATGGTCTTGTTCCTGCATGACGTTGTTGTTGTTGTTGTTGTTGTTGTTGTTGTTGTGAGTTACTTAGTAGGAGCTTGAGCTTCCCCCCCGCGTTGCACCAAAACGTGCCGCTTCTCTTTAGCAGGTTAGCTTACCGGTACCGGTAGAGGCCGGCCATACTACCATCTCGGCCGCAACGTTTAGCGTCCTTTTTTTCTTGGACTGTCACCTCGACCCGCCTCTATCGCGTATGCCCAACATGAACAATTCGCAATTCCGCCGTCTTCTGATCGATACGCCGCGACCACAAGGCGATGGCACTGGCAAGTCGCCGCCAGCAGGCACGCCCAAAGCGGTGCTGGGCGCGCGCAAACACTCTAGTATACCCATGACCCCGTAAGCAAGTCCCCATCTTCATGTCTATTTGCAGCTTCTTATCATGTTCGCAGTCGTCAAGTCGGCCGAGGCTCTGTCCAGTCGGATTTTGCTCGTCAGCTCGCTGAACGCAACGCCAAAGCAAACCCCAATAAGAAGGCACGCATGTCTGCGCCCAAGGGAACCAAGCTGGCTGCTGGCTACATCGACCGCACCAAGGAGCGCACTGATGAAGAGAACAATGAGATTGTGCAGCGTATCAAGGCGCTGGAGGAATCGATGAAGCAAGGGGACATTGACCGCGAGACATTCGAAAAACAGGTGCAGGAGATCACGGGCGGCGACCTTGGGACTACTCACTTGGTCAAGGGCTTGGACAGGAAGCTGCTCGAGAGGGTACGGCGCGGTGAGGACATACTAGCGAAGGAAGACAACAAGGAAGATGAGGCGGAAGAAGAGGAAGCCCCGGAGGTGGAGGAGGCCTTCGACGAACTGGCACATGAAGAGGTGGGCCCTATTCTCCGCGACAAGGCTGAAAAGAAGGGCGAGAAATTGACAACACCACTACCAGTCGTTGGTGTCAAGCGTAGTCGGAACGACATCTTGAAGGAACTCAAGAGACAACGAGAGGAAGCTGCTCGAGCGGCTGCGGCTGAGCACGAGAAGAGATATCCCACTCTAGGGCCTGGATTCCGCAAAGTCAACCCAAAAGGGGAAACATCTCGCATTGAAACCGACGAGAAAGGCCGCGAGGTCTTGATCATCACTGGGCCTGATGGCAAAGAGAAGCGGAAGGTCAAGAAGCAAAAGATTGTTGAGGAAGCACCGCCCGAGGTGCGATACGACTTGGACGATCCCGACAAGCCGATAAACATGCATAATCTGCCAGAGCCGAAGGAGGATTCTGAGGATGATGACATCTTCGAAGGCGTAGGGTCTAATTACAATCCTCTTGCTGATCTAGGCGATGACGATGGCGACGATTCAGACGAGGAAGAAGCAGAAAAGGCTCCTGAAACAGCTGTAGAAGTCGTTGACCCACCTGTGGGAGAGCATCAATCAGAAGAAACGGTGGTCCCACCAATATCAGAAGAGAAAACAGATCACACAGCAAGCAGCACAGTGCCTGCAAAACGAGATTACTTCAGTTCGATTACTCGTGGCACGTCCTCGGAGAATCCATCTGGAGTCTCTTTGGCCGATGCCACTGTGCGAGCAGCTCTCGCCAAAGTCCGCAATCTTGACGAGAATTCCACTCTGCTCCAAAACTTGTCCTCAGACCCGAACGACCCCAGCTCGAAAGAAGCCCGGCTCAAGAAGCGTGCTGCAGAGTTGGCGGCCTCCGACCGCGATATGGAAGATATGGATCTCGGGTTTGGAGCTTCACGATTTGATGATGCCGAGGAGATGGAGCGAGAGGGCGAGAGAGTCAAGTTCAGCCAATGGAAGGGCCTTGGTACTGAAGGAGATGATGATGATGATGATGGAGAAGAGGGTGCCAGGGGTGCGAAGAAACAAAGGAAGAGAGGCGGAAAGAAGAGGAAAGGAGACAAGAATAATCCTGACGATGTACTCAAGGTTATGGAGAGACAGGTAAGATGCTCGCTGAATAGCATGTAAGATGTATACTGACATGATGATTGCAGCAAGAGAAGAAGGCTAAGACGCTGGGCTAATGTACCTGATTGATATAGCATATTCACGCTCCCGAAGGGATAACGTAATCCCGCGCCCCTTCCGTGCTGAACAAAATCACCACAGACTTCTCATTCAACTTTGTGAGGTCTTTGCCTATGCTATGTAACTTTTTCAAAGCTGTCAATGGGGCAGCACCACAAGGACCGACTCTAACACCCTGGCCATTAAGATTTTGTAGGTCATGATGAACATCGATATCAGAGACTGTGACGCTTAAGTCCACACCCTCTTCCAGGATCTTCCAAGCCGTTGTCGATGTCGTACCACAATTCATGCCATTCATGATGGTGTGCCCAGTCGTAATCGGCGTAATCTTTCCAGTCTCTAGACTCGCCTTTAGACTCGCTGCTGTATCCGGCTCGACAGTGACAACTGTAACAGGAGTCGATCGGGCTTTGTAGTGCATAGCCACAGCCTGTGCCCAGGACCCCACACCCACGGAGACTATTGCGTGGGTTACTGTTCGTATGCTCAGGTCTTGCAGCTGCTTATCCGCTTCGATGAGCATGGTGCTGTAACCTTCAACCACCCACTATCCATCGTTAGATTCTCACTACCGCTTTTCAAGAAAATTCAGCTGACCTCGGGAATGTCCTCATAACCATCCCACGAAACATCCATGACCAACATCCCCCCCTCATCGGCTTCCTCCCTCGCCTTCGCAATCGAGAAATCATAGTCGCCATCTACAACTATCACTTTCGTCCGTTCCCCTTCCCCCGTAATCTTCTGCTGCGTCGCCTCATCCATAAAGTCCGGCACGAAAATAACAGCTTCGACCCCTAGATACTTTGCCATTCTCGCCACCGCCCTGCCCCAATTACCCTCTGTACACGTCACAAGCTTCACGCCATCTTTCTGCGCCGCGACGCCGAGTTCTTCAAGGGAGGCCGTCAGTGACAAGCTGAAACGTTGGGCGAGGGCTCTGTGAATCGCCCAACTTGCACCGAGGATCTTGAAGGCGGGGAGGCCGAGGCGACTGGACTCATCCTTGAGGAGAACGTGGGATACGCCTACTTCTTGCGCTAGGGATGGGAGCGATGTCAGAGGTGTGACGGCGTAGTCTGGAAGGGTACGGTGGAAGGCTGAGACGGCTGGTGGAGGAGAGGGTCCGGTGTAGGACCAGGAGCTGGCTGAGGGGTTATGAAACATGGTTGTTTGGCCGAAGTGATTGATAAGGGGTTCAATGGAACGGGCAATTCATGGAGGGGAGACGATGGATCCTTGAGATTGGGAGATTGTGATCAAGGGACAAGCATATCAGATGATTAGTGGTGGTGCGTATAAGCTTTTGAATGTGTGATTCCTCGAAACGAAAGCTTTTTTGGCCCATGCATCTGTTCAGTATCAACTATATGGCGTATATCAATTACTCTCTATTTTTCATCCGTGAGTACGCCAGAGTATCACGAGACAGGCACGCTTTCTCTGGCGGGGTGGTGTGGGGAGCTTGATGCGGGGCATCTGGTATCGATAGCGGCGCGACCCTGAGCTGGGCTGCGTCATAAGTTGGGTTTCCTCTCGAATCGTGCGTCCCGATACGTTTGCCTACAAGCTTCGAACAACACATCAACAATGTCGCGACCAGGTGTACAGACAGCCTTGAACAACGTCCCCAGAGTCGTAATACGGCCAACATGGGATAACGTCGTTGCGGCTACATACCTCATCAAGGTACTGATACATCGATTTAGCTCTCGCGGGTCAATACTGATAGGCAACAGGGAATAGTCTTCTTCCTTGCGCATCCGTTTCTCTACCCGCTACTGAGAGCCCGTCTACTACCTGCTTTTCTACTCAGTACCTTTGTTCTCCTCAACCTCTTCTTCTGGACCTTCCTGCCACAAGTCGCCTTCCTCGCCCTGTTCCACAAGACTGGTAGCGCATGGGTGAATGGGACATTTCTGGTACTGGGAGAAGGAGCTGCAATAGTGGCCCTTCTGTTTGAGTCGTTCTTTGTGGTAAGTCTGACCAGAGAGTGAACGAATGGCGTCGTTATGGTAAATCATTGTTTTCTGCATCACCTGCTGACCTGTCCAAGGATGAAGCCCAGGTGGATATTTTCGATGCCGTTATGGTACACAAAGGATGTGAGGATCTGATCAGGCAACACTGTCCCGTCACAGAAGACGCACTCGACGATCCAGTCCGCCGACTGGGCAAGCCCACACGGTCAGCCGTTTATGCGCCTTTCTCCTTCCGCCAGATCGCAGAATTCGTCATCCTACTCCCACTCAACTTCGTCCCTTACGTGGGCGTGCCTCTCTTCCTCCTGCTCACAGGCTACCGCGCTGGACCACTCCAACACTGGAGGTATTTCCAGCTTCTGGGCTATAATCGGAAACAGAGGAACGCCGTGATATCCCAGCGAAGATGGCAGTATACATGGTAAGCCTACCCTGGCGCCCAATATTGTGCGTGGCTGATCTAAACCGGGACAGGTATGGAACAGTATACCTTATTCTACAGCTTGTACCGCCCTTCAGTATGTTCTTCCTCATGACGGCGGCCGCGAGCTCTGCACTATGGGCGGCGGACTTGGAGAGTGTGCGGAGAGCGCAGGAGGCACAGGGAGCGCATTTGGTGCCCCCGCCAGACTACACTGATGATCAAGATGCTGCCGTATAACTTTACCGCAATAGATAGTGTTGATTTGATGCGACAAAAGTGCACGCCGATAAACGTGGTCTGTCCGAAAGTCAATGAGATGCACTAACATTGTCGTCGGTGACCGACCGCCAGATTCCAGATGGTGGCGCCATGTCAATCAGTCTTGATAGGATAGGCTGTGGGCGGAAAGCTCAAAGCAGGGAATGGCTGCCAAGGCGTTTGATGCCGTACCTAGCTGCAACATTACCTTGGAACGGATCCGGATGGAGAAGACTGCACGTGCCCCACGCTAGGCTGCAGGCACAGTTCAATGTTGACGCATGACGAGTACCCAGCAAGCCCCCAGCCTCCCGCCCAAGCTCCCCCCAGCTTACTCTACCATCCATAACACAACACTTGCCTCCCTCCCCCCCATCCATCCATCGTCACGTTCGCAAACACCCTCCTTCTCCATCCCCCATCCCCCATCTATCCATCTATTTCTGTCTCGTCCTTCATCAAAACTCTTCCTAGCACAACCCACTTCGCATAGTCCGACATCATGAGGTCGGCCATCTTGCTCGCAGCTGCAGCTGCCGGCACTGCTTCGGCAGGCGTCCACAAGATGCCCTTGAAGAAGGTTTCTCTCGACGAGCAGTTGGTAAGTCACATTTCAAAGCCGCCTCGATGGCGGTTCAGCTCCAGGATCGAGCGCTTCCTGACAATACCCAGAAATACGCTTCGATCCAGGAACAAGTTAGCGCTTTGAGCCAGAAGTACATGTCTGGTTTCAAGCCCACGAGTCACATGGAGCAGGTCTTCAAGGCTCCTTACATTGCCGATGGAACGCACCCGGTGCCTGTCAGCAATTTTCTCAACGCACAGTGTAAGTTGCGCATTTCCCAGGCATCTGCAGCCTACTCTAGCGGCTGCTAACCCAGCTCAGACTTCTCGGAGATCTCCCTCGGTACGCCACCACAGACCTTCAAGGTTGTTCTCGACACCGGTAGCTCCAACCTCTGGGTTCCTTCGTCCGAGTGTAACTCGATCGCCTGCTACCTCCACACCAAGTACGACTCGTCAGCGTCGTCGACATACAAGAAGAACGGCACCTCGTTCGAGATCCGCTACGGATCTGGCGAGCTCAGCGGCTTCGTTTCCAACGACGTGTTTCAGATTGGTGACCTCAAGGTCAAGAACCAAGACTTTGCGGAGGCTACCTCTGAGCCTGGCCTTGCATTTGCCTTCGGCCGATTCGACGGCATCATGGGTCTAGGCTACGACACTATCAGTGTCAACCATATCGTCCCACCCTTTTACAACATGCTGGACCAGGGCCTGCTCGATGAGCCCGTCTTTGCCTTCTACCTTGGTGACACCAACGAGCAGCAAGAGTCCGAGGCCACATTTGGTGGTATCGACGAGAGCCACTACTCGGGCAAGCTCATCAAGCTTCCATTGAGGCGCAAGGCCTACTGGGAGGTTGATCTCGATGCCATCACATTCGGCAAGGAGACAGCTGAGATGGACAACACCGGTGTCATTCTGGACACCGGCACCTCCTTGATTGCTCTTCCTTCCACCATGGCCGAGCTTCTGTAAGTTTCGCCACACCCACCAGCCCAGTGAAGCGCTAACATGATCTAGTAACAGAGAGATTGGCGCTAAGAAGGGCTTCAACGGCCAGTACTCAGTTGAGTGCGACAAGCGTGACGGTCTGCCCGACCTTACATTCACGCTTACCGGCCACAACTTCACCATCAGTGCTTTTGACTACATTCTGGAGGTTCAGGGATCATGTATCTCTGCCTTTATGGGCATGGACTTCCCTGAGCCCGTAGGACCTCTGGCCATTCTCGGTGATGCTTTCCTGAGGAAGTGGTACTCTGTATACGACCTCGGCAATTCTGCTGTTGGACTTGCCAAATCTAAGTAAGATACCAGCATTGGGATATGCTGCAAGCGTTCGCAGAGTGGATTAGCATAGTCACTTGATAACCTGCATCTTTGAGCCTCAAATTGTACCTGCGCCGGACCGGTTTGGGTGGATGGTGTTGACTGCCATGGTTTATGTATATTAATGAAGGCAGCTTGATTGAGAGACAAGGCAATCACGTCACTCGTTTGAGAGTTCTATAAAGTGTCATTGAAGGCGCATGTTGCAATTTACTACCTACCATCTATATACATGGAGTTCCATTAAAATAGTTGCCTCTGGGCAGCTCATGAGCTAGACACCAAGGCGGCACGACCCCCGTAGTCTACTATCCGTTATCGATACAAACAAACGAATGACGTCTTCGCTTCTGTAGTCGCAAGCTTGTAGGATAGGATACTTGATACTTTGGATGCAGCGTGTGCTTGAATACTGTGGCGCATGTCGATATGGTAATAAATGGGCGAGGAGTATTTCTCAGCATTGTCTTTGAAAGGTGAGGCTGTGCTGTTGAGGTTGTGGCACCATTAAGCTTATCACGCCGCCAATCCGCGCCAACAGCTACGTGCATGTGCCCACTACTGAGCGTGGCCGCATCTCGTGTACTCCCAGTCAGGGCGCGTCACACCTTTTGCCCAGGCCTCCAATATGTGATATCTAGTATCAGTGACTGCCTGACGCAGCCCCCCTCACAGTTGATCTTACACCATAATACGAATCCGCGCAAGCTCACGCCTACTTAAGCCTCCTCGATCGCCGCAGCATCTCAACTCGGCCTCCAACGGCCATTCGCTGCCACCACACCAGCCTACAAAATGGCGTCCCAAGACCGAGGGAGCGACAGGACCAGCCGGAGACTGACCAAAAAACGCAAAGATGGGAAGAAGCCGATGCGAGATGTGTCGCTGGACATGCCAGAGCGCTTCAAGGACGGTGACGATGCACACGAGGACGTGACGGCGCCAAAGGGCAACCACACCATGTCGATGAACCAGTCCATCTTCTCCATGATAGCCCGCGCTGGGCAGCAGTCAAACACCGATCTGGGCACTATGCAAGAGGTTGACTCGGGAGATAGTGATGACGAGGGCACGCGCAATGTGCCATATCACATCTTGGACGGTGCTGCTCGACTGAGCCGCCTCAGCACTGCGAACGACTTCCAGAAAACCTCTGGCCAGACTCGGGATGGAAAGACGGAGAAAGGCAAACATGGAAGGGCGTTGTCGGAAAACAAGCTCCTGCGATCACTGCCCAAGTTGAAGATAGCGAGTCGAAAGGATGCGCGCTCTGATGGACAGGGCGCGGACCAGATGTCTTCATCACAGTTCTTACCACCCCGCCCCTCGCCCGAAGGCTCCATGCCCGCACCCGCATCGAGCCCGCCGCCTCCTGCAGCGAAAGGCAGAGTTAGGCCTGGCGACGGAATACAAATGGAGAAGGGCCGTAATGTAGCGCGCAAGACTCGACAACGAAGTCCTGCCGCGGCTGCCACAGGTGAAGCACCTGTCAGTCTCGCAAAGAGGATACAGCACATTTTTGAGTTTGCGCAGGAAGAAGAGGTCATATCTGAGTACCCTTGTTGGCTTTTACAAAGCATTCTGCTGCAAGGTTATATGTATATTACACAGAAACATATATGCTTTTATGCATACATCCCCAAGAAGCACGTAAGTAGAACTTGTGCGTTATAGCATGAGATGCGTTACTGACGTCACCAGCACGACGTCAGCAAGACTGGCTACCTGTCAAAACGTGGTCGGTCTAAACATAACAGATACTGGTTCATCCTGCGTGGTGATGTCCTAGCTTACTACACTAACCCGGCGGAGCTCTACTTCCCACGCAATCGCATCAACCTGCAATACGCAATATCGGCGGAAGTCCTAGAGCCCAAGCGAAAGGGCGACGAAGAAACCAGCTTTGTCGTTACGACTGACGAAAGAACCTACCAGTTCAAGGCCGACAGCGTAGCCAGTGCCAGAGAGTGGGTAAAGTCGATTCAGAAGGTTATATTCCGCACCCACAACGAGGGCAACAGCGTGAAAATCTCCCTACCGATACAGAATGTGCTTGAAATAGAGGAGAGCTCTATACTGGACTTTGCTGAAACAGCCAAAGTTCGTGTGATAGATAACGACGAAACATTCGCGATTGATGAGGTTCGTTGTGCTCCATCTCTTCCGCGTCTGCGCTCTCTAACTCTGACCAGTATTTCTTCTCGTTTTTTACGAAGGGACAAGACGCGCTTAATGTGTTACGAATTATGATCAATGATAATGAGCATCATCAGGCAGCACAAAAACCTGTGGAACCTCCATCCCGTGCATTAGGTCAGTCAGATAGCGGCTTTATGGCATCTACGAATGCTCCCAGCGAAGTGCCTCACATCACAGAGAACGTACGTGCTACCTTGTCACCTTTAACAGCACCGCATGTTGGAAGATCAAGCATGAGCGACATTTCTGTACGCTCGAGCGTCGACGCAAATAGGAAAAACCGGGATGTGCGTCGCAGCATGGACGCTGGCCGCACCCTGCGACGCTGGAGCCTTGAAGGACGACGTCTTAGTCACGAGGCCCACCGGAGTCCGAGTCCAAGTGGCCATGACAAGACGCATAAGGGTCGCGTTGGAGATCGCTCACCCAAGTCTCCACGAGCAACAGACTCAGATTCAGCGACCTTTTCACTCGACCCAGGTACGGAGTCATCCGCTGCCATACAGTCAATGGACGATAGTACCGCCTCTGCTTCGCAAATATTGGATCGCTCCGACTTATTCCGTGCGCCAGTGGTCAGTTCACCAAATGCCTTTTCCAATGGCGTGAATATGTCAGCGCATTCACAAGATACAACTCGTTCGTCTGCGCCTAGGCCCGCCTATTCTAAAGGCACGCACCCCACAACAAGTCCCAGCATCGATCCGCTCTCACCTGGTGCACCTGACGGAGAGTACGATACAGACGCTGGAGGAGCCACACGACTATCTGGCTCCTCTTCAGCGCTCCAAGATATTGCCTCTTACCCGCTACAGAAAGCTTCTGGATTAGCGGGCTTTCTGCGCACAAGGTCGAAGAAGATGGGCAATCTACTTGCTGCGGAGTCGATGGGATACTACGAAAAAGTGTCTGGAATGTTAGCCGGTGGTCGCAAGCATTACAATACCGCAGAAGGGCTAGAAACGGATGACCAGGTAAACGTGTATGAAGACGACGAAGATGCCGCCAAGGCAACCGACAACTTTCGTGAGCACTTTGCGTTCCGCGAGGATGAAGTCCTCCAATCCTCTTTCTTTGCATCACTTCAGCGCGTGCTTCCCAACTATGGTAAGATATACATTAGTGGAAGATATTTTTGCTTCCGCAGCCTCATGCCTACATCCAAGACAAAGGTATGTCAAACACAGCTTCCCGCATTTGCAGAGCCCTGACATAATGAAGATTATCCTGCCAATGAAAGATATAGAAAATGTCAACAAAGAGAAGGGCTTCAGACTTGGCTACTATGGCCTTGCTATCGTGATCAGAGGCCATGAGGAGCTGTTTTTCGAATTCGGGAAGGCAGAGTATCGCGACGAGTGCGCCATAACCGTGCTTCGTATCTTGGAGAACACAAAGTACCTCGAAGACGATCAGTCATCTTCTTCTGGTGTCGATAGCAATGACGAGGCCGCCAAAGCGGAGCACGATCTTCTTCAACAAGCAAGAGAGGACAATAACGTGGACAAGACGAAAAATCTATCAGAAATTGTACGCGCAGCGGCGGACGATCGGATCCCCCTCATTTTCGACGACCCGCTGGCTTCTTTTGTCGATTTCAAGCCCCCAGAGCCCCTCACTATTGTCTGTTTGACAATCGGTTCCAGAGGTGATGTGCAGCCCTACATTGCGCTCTGTAAGGAACTGCTGAAGGAAGGGCACAAGCCGCGCATTGCAACGCACGCAGAATTTGAGCCCTGGGTACGAAAACACGGTATCGACTTCGCTCCGGTTGATGGCAACCCGGCGGAACTTATGAGGATCTGCGTAGAGCACGGCATGTTCACGTACAACTTCATGAAAGAAGCCAACTCCAAGTTCCGTGGATGGCTTGACGACGTTTGTAGCTCATCGTGGCGCGCATGCCAGGGTGCTGATGTTCTCATTGAGAGCCCGAGCACCATGGCTGGTATTCATATTGCAGAGGCTTTGGAGATCCCATATTTCCGCGCCTTTACGATGCCCTGGACGCGCACTCGTGCCTACCCACACGCATTCTCGGTCTTGGAAAAGAAGATGGGCGGTGGTTACAACAGCATTACGTACATCACCTTCGACACCATCTTCTGGACAGCCATCTCCGGCCAGATCAACAAGTGGCGCCGACGTGAACTTGGCCTTCAGAACACATCACAGAGCAAGATGCAGGCAAGTTTACGTCCGTTCTTATATAACTTTAGCCCTCATGTTGTACCTCCGCCACTGGATTGGCCCGATTGGGTCCGAGTAACAGGCTACTGGTTTTTGGACGAGGCGGATACGTATGAGCCGCCCGCAGATCTGGTAGCATTTATGGATAAGGCGCGCAAAGATGGCAAGAAGTTGGTCTACGTTGGATTTGGCTCTATTGTTATCGACGACCCTGCTGCTCTTACGAAGACGGTTGTCGATTCGGTATTGAAGGCAGACGTACGATGTGTTCTCTCAAAGGGTTGGTCGGATCGTCTGGAGACTAAGGATGCCTCCAAGCCGGAAATTCCGCTCCCATCAGAGATCTTCCAGATCCAGTCTGCGCCCCATGACTGGCTGTTCAAGCAAATGGATGCAGCAGTACACCATGGAGGGTCTGGGACCACAGGTGCCAGTCTTCGCGCAGGCATTCCCACAATCATCAAACCCTTCTTTGGGGACCAATACTTCTTCGCACAACGTGTCGAGGACATGGGTGTTGGTGTGTGGCTCAAGAAGGTCAACACCAGTGTGTTTAGTCGGGCATTGTGGGAGGTTACCAACAGCCAACGCATGATCGTGAAGGCGAGGGTTCTGGGACAGAAAATTCGCAAGGTAAGAAAATCGAGTGCCTTTCCATGATAGATACTGACGCCATCCAGGACAATGGCACTCAAGTAGCCATACAGACCATTTATCGTGAGCTCGATCGGGCTCGATCGCTCGTGAAGAAGCACGCCAAGCTGGACGGAGAACTGTCAGAAGAGTTTGAAGAGGACTGGACCATGGTCGAGGATGGCGAGGAGATTGATGTACCCCATCCATTCGAGGTTCAACAGCCTGTTGCTGGCATTAGCCAGGATGCGTCAAAGATGGGTGGAGGATCTTTGGTTTTGGGCAGCATGGTGCTGAAGGGTGCGCAGAAGCGCAGCCCGGAGTCTGCATATAGAGGTTGAACGTTCAAATTCTTCAAAGTTCAGTGTATAACAGGCATGGTGTCAGGGGCAATTTTTAATGGGATGTAGACGTGGTAGAGTAGCGTTATAAGACCAGATGATATCTGTGGTACGATTCAGATGCAAGAGCACATCGCGATAGGGTGGATGCAGGGACAATTGACATATGTATTGCTGCAGGATTCGAGTCATGGAATAGATTTTGATCGAGTCAGGATGCAATGAACGAGAATGGCGATGAGTGGGCAGCACTGTTTTCAAAGTGTCTCCTGGTTGTGATTGTTGCATTCTTGTTGCCTAAATACCACAACGTACCGGTGTTCATGGTATGGCCTCGTGAATCATACTTTCTGCTGCCTATCCGTATGTATGAATGAAAACTTCAGCGGAGTGATGAAGAAAGGACGAATCCAGGATGCAAACAGAGACGCAAAACACGCCCAGTTCTTCAACGCGGCTCGACTCAGGCGGGCACAAATGCAGATCAAAGTGCGCGCTGCTCCCGCTCTTTGTCTGCAGCTCCCTGCAGGTCCACTGAGCACGGGCCTCTTAGTCGAAAGCGGGTATAAGTAAGTTAAGTCCCCCTCCCCCCGCCCGCCGTGAAAGAAGCTGGGCAGAACGGCAAACGCAATACGTCAATCCTTGTCCCCGATTTCTCGTTGCATCCCAACTTGCCACTGTACCTACCGACGCGCTCCACCACACTTCACTACGCACCACGCCGCACCCCGCCAAGGGCTCTTTTGCATATCCACATACGCAAACACAACCACGCGCACGTCAACACTGACGCGGCCCTAGCCCAAACTCGCCGCCCTCACACGCGACTTGCACACTGCGCGCCGAATGCGCCCATGTCTTGCGACGCGCCTGCTGCACACGTGATTATATAGCTGTCGCATGGGCCGTCGCACTGCGGAATGAAGATCCACTCGCCGCGGGATCTGTCGTATCCCATCACTGTCGTCGACCTCCTCAAAAAGCCGGGTGAGGATATCAAACGGTCAGAGAAGCTGTTCAGCTATCGATATGAGACCGACGTCACCGAGGGGGACAAATGGGGCGGATGGGAGACGAAGAAGAAGAAGCTGATAACTAAATACGATTCCAGTGCGGCGGGCCAAGTCACTCGATGGCTCATCTCGCCCGGTACCGTCATCGACCGGCAGGGCGTGCCTCTGGTAGAGATTGAAGAGCCATGCACGCACGAGACGCAGTTTGGCGGCCTCTGCGCGGAATGTGGCGAGGACATGACCAAAATCGACTACCTCACCAAGGAGCGCGACGTGGCGCGTGCCACCATCAACATGACACACGACAATGTCGCCTTGCTGGTCAGTCAGAAGGAGGCCAACGCTGCCGAAGAAGACGCCAAGAAACGGCTGCTGGGTGCTAAGAAGCTCACGCTCATTGTCGATCTCGATCAGACCGTCATTCACACCACGTGCGAGCGTACAATCGCCGAGTGGCAGGCGGACCCGGAGAACCCAAATCATGGTGCGGTCAAGGATGTCGAGGGCTTCCAATTGGCGGACGATAATGTCTCCAATGTGGCTGCCAACTGGTACTATGTCAAGAAGCGCCCTGGTCTCGAAGACTTCTTCAAGCGCATGTCGAAGCTTTACGAGATGCACGTATACACCATGGCCACCCGGGCATACGCCCAAGCTGTCTGCAAAATCATCGATCCTGACCGAAGATACTTCGGCGACCGCATTCTTAGCCGCGACGAAAATTATACTGACAAGACCAAGAGCTTGAGTCGGCTATTTCAGAACACAACCATGGTCGTCATCATTGATGACAGAGCAGACGTCTGGCAGTACAGCCCTCATCTAGTCCGTGTTCCTGTATTCAACTTCTTCCCGGGTGCTGGCGATATCAACGCGAGTTTCCTTCCGAAGCAACAAGAACTTGTTTCATTTGCCAAAGATAAATTGCCGCCGACGCCGAAGAAGTCAGATGGAACCCCACTTTGTGCCATGTCAGTGGCGGGACAGCCGGCCGAACCAGCTCTTGTCGCAGTTAGCAATGGCGACCTAAAGGACATTGGTGAAAAGCTGGTAAATTTGGCAAAGAAGGAAGACCTCGAGGTACAGGCGAAGGAGCAGGAGAAAGTCATCATCGCACAACAGACCGAACGACCTTTGCTGCAGCAACAACTCTTGCAGGACAAGGAAGACGAAGCAGCCGAGGAGGTGGAGGCACCTGGGGATGTCATTGCCAACGGCACTCCACAGCATGCGGATCATCACAAAATCCGACATAGCATTTTAAACAATGACGACCGCGGCCTGGATGTTATCGAGCAGAACTTGGTTCGAGTACATCGCGAGTTCTATGACCAGTACGTCAGGTCAAAAGCCGTACCAGCGGGCGGTCGCATTGCAGAGCTGAAGGGCGAGAAGAGTCCGAAGAAGCGTGCTATGAATGATGTGGTTCCCGATGTCGCAGAGATTATGCCGCGGATCAAGAGTGAAGTACTTGACGGTGCAGTTGTCGTCTTCTCTGGTATCATCCCGTTAGGCGTCGATGTTCAATCGTAAGTTTCTTTGAGGAGTACTCAGTCGTATAATTTTTAATACTCTACAGATCCGACTTCGCATTGTGGATCATGAGCTTTGGCGCTGAGGTCTCCACAACGGTCAATCGACGAACAACCCATGTGATCGCAAACCCGGACAGGAAGACAACCAAAGTCAAGAGTGCTGCACGATACCCACACATCAAGATTGTGAACCCAGAATGGATGTTCCAATGCTGCACACGATGGGAGCATGTGGACGAGGGTCCTTATACCATTGAAATCGATCCCGCTGAGCGAGAAGGTTCGCCCTTCGGGGATCTTGATGATGAGAGCATCAGCGCCACAGGAGACGAGGCAGACGAAGACGACGATGCGACAGTCCGACTTGACGCAATGACCGCAGATAGCTGGGCATCGGTAGACGACGAGTTGGCCGATTTTCTGAACGAGTCTGAAACCGACGGTGGTAGCGACTCCGACTCTGAGAGCGTCCGTTCAGACACCAGCACGACGTCCGATGTCAAAGAACAGAAAAAGAAGAGGAAACGCACCAGCACGAACTCGACAGATGGCAGTGACGCCGAAGAAAGCGATAGCAGCGTGACCAGTACATCCCGGTTGCAACGACGTAAGAAGCGTACTCTGGAACGCGTGACATCGTTGACGAATGTGGTGACAGCGGAGAAGTCGTCTGGTCTTCCCAGCCCCGAGACCACAGGCCCAGAAGAGGGCCAAAACGAAGACGAGGAGAAAGCATCCGAAGTCAACGGAAGTGCGCCAGACTTACAAGAGGATTACGACGATGGGCTGGAAGCTGAATTGTTGGCAGGCTTTGACGATAGCGATGGGGATGATTAGGCGTCTCTCAGAACGCGCCTTTTTTTTTGCATTGGGAAATCTTGTATATCAGCATAGCGTGGTGTTTTTGGTCTTCGGCGTTGGGATGGGAATCTATGTGTTGGCTGAACAAGTAGTCCACACGTTGGGACGGAAATTTGGGGTAGGATATGACACTGGAGTGTGTGTGTGTGTGTGTGTGTATATGAGTCTTCCACATTATGGCGATCAATCAAACTACTTACACCCGAATACTGTGTGTCCTCTCCGGTTTGCTGCGTAATGAAAATGTTTAGACCTGTTCCACCACAAACCATCTAAAGTGTGGCAAGCTGATGGAAGTATGTGTGGACCAGCTAGGAGTCTAAGAACACAGCAACTGCTTCGCAGGGCTCACCCGGCTAGCCAATAGTAGCTAGCCACAATGTCCATTACCCCAGTTTTGGGCGCGTGGTACCGTAGCACTCAAGGCAGGGCGTGGGGGGCAAGTTGAACCCTAGGATGGCTGGATAGTTAGTGCAACGGCGAGTGAGGCTGAAGCCTTGTTTCTTTTGCTGCCTTCTGCCTTGCGACTCACCACCAGCACCCCACATACCACAATCCCTCGCAAACCGCTCTGCCCCAAGCTTTACCTCCAAAACATCAATCTACCATTGCCAGACTACTACATACCGGTAGAGCTTATCAAGGACAATACAATCAACGGCATCGATCCCGGGCTTGCCTTGCGACTGCGACCGCACCCCGCCCACCACTTTCTGAGTTGCAATCACAACCCAGCCAGCCATCATAGTACGGCGATCACCATCGAGGCTGAGTCAAGGACTTCCCGCCCAGAGTTGCAGCATGGAGGGCAAACTGCTGAGCTTCATGGGCCTGCCGTTTGACCTGAAGGCATTGATCATACAGCATGTGAGTACAGAGCACGAGCAGAAGGCAGTGCCAAACCCATATATGCCACCACATATGGCTGACGTTGTTCAGATAACCCGTCCAACTGATCTCAAGAACGTCTGTCTCGTCTGCAAACAACTCCACGAAATCGCCGTTCGTCAGCTCTACTACGAAGTCACCCTCGATGTCGGGTCTCCCAATGACACGCGGCTCGGAGCTTTTCTCAATCCCAGGAACATTGGTCTGAAACATGTGCGCAAACTTGATCTCTATCTTGCAGACATCATCGACAAGTGTGGCCAACTACAGCAAGCCAATTTTGCGATTCGCATGATACTTGAACTCATGCCAGAAGATCAACTGGAGAAGTTCTCGTGGCATCCTTGGTCGCCCTTCTCCGGAGACAATCTCGTGCTGTTGTACAAGAAGCAGAGGCGCATGAAGTGGATGGAGAGCATATCGCTGGATCGCGATGTTCTGGAGGAGTTGCAGAAGATCCCCAATATTGAAAAGACATTCGAAAACGTCCGGAAGATTGGTCTCTACCCGGATACACGAGAGGTCATGAACTTCTGCAACTTTCTGCTAAAACACACGGCGAATCGCACCTTGGACAAGATTACGCTACATGCGAGTTTCGATGAACACGATGCGAGCATCACATCCAGGCAACTGAACGACTCAGCTACAGCACCTGGACTGCTTACTTCGACCATGTTCAGACACATGATGCCATTTTCAAAATGCACCCCAATCGTCCTGAAGGAGATCACTCTGCAGAAGGTCCATTTACGATATGCTTCAGAGACGTACTGCAAGCTCATCGACTTCCAGTCTGTAAAGGGTATACGCATCTATGGTTGTTCAGGCGCTGATGCTCTGTTTGCCGAGCTCAGCAAGAGCACCAAGCTTCCCGACAGGCTCGAAACTCTAGAGGTCAAGCATGATGATAGCCCTGACAATGATGGTCTCAATGCCATTGACGGGTTTTTGTGTCTTGTGTCGGGACTCAAAGTTCTCACTCTGGATATCATTGATGCCAAGAGTCCACCTGCTGCAGCAGGCGTCGTACGGCATGGCAAGACGCTTAAGACGCTGAACATTCACGCGAGTACAGGCCCTGATAGCTGCGACGAGGAGCTCGTCTATGACTATGCATCTTGGGCGCAGATTTGCAAGGAGTGTGTGGCCTTGGAGCAAGTGTCAGTGGCCTTTCCTCCAGTCAGTGTTGTACGCAGTAAGAACGACAGTTTTGTCAACTTTGAGGTAAGGCGATACCCCCAAAAACTTCGCAAGGCGATCAGGTCACTAACAAGGTTGCAGAACTGCTTAGGTGATCTACCCAACCTCGTCACCCTTAACATCACTACATGGCCGAACAACAGCCCATCATCAGCAAAACTACCTCGCAAGATTTACGAGCATCTTCTCGCCGGGCTCGCGCAACAAGGCTTCGAGCGCAGCATTTCCTATGCCAAGGAGCACAATCGGTCGTCCAAGCTGGCCATCATCGCATTTGGTTCATCCGATAAAGTTTACGATCGCGAAGACAGCCAAAACCAAATGAGTATGTGCCCCCCTACCGATATATCATCCCTACTCCAGTAGATAAACGCCATGCTAACGTTGCATAGTCTTCGTCAAGGGTCGCCAAATTGACCCATTAGGCAACGAAAAGCCGACGGCTGTACAGATTGGATGGTGTCTGAGGAAATTCGTAGATGCGGGACCCAAGTCTAGTATTCTGGACTTTGCACTGACGAGGACATCGAGGCCGCCCACGAGGAATGAGCCGGATAGTGATGATAGCGATTGACAGTTAATGAGGGACCCAGGGATTTGGGTACAACCAGGGATGGGGACTGAATGGTGATGGAGGGATTAAGGGGGAGCGGGCAGATGAGTGGTGAGATGGCTGATGTTCATGGGATAACTTGGAGAGACATGGGTGCTCCCGGCAAGCACCCAGGACAGGTACACATATAGCTGGTAATCGCAGTTGCTACGTGTAGCCGATCCCGAAAAGTGAGGAGATAAGCGAATCCTTTAATTGGGAACCTTCTTATGAGATCCATGGATCTGCGTCGCTTGAGTTGACCCATGCAGGCTTCATCATTGCCCGGAAGCGTTAGGTCAGCCTTGGAGAATGCAAGGCGCGCCGAGAGTTTCGGTGAAAGTGAAGTTTGTATTCCTTCCAAGTCGTCATGATGTTCATGAAATGGACGCGCGGTACGGTGTAAGATCTGCAGCAATTGGCAGTGCAGAAATGGGACCTGTTCGCTCTGTTCGTCTAAAGGACCCTCCTCTTAAGGGGAGGTTAGCATCTCCATGCCCACACTGTGCAGTGGGCAAACAGCGACGACCACCTTTCACTCATCGTCGCCGGCGCGTCCCTAGTCATAATCAGCTGGTACACATAGATATTGTAGCTCGGCGTTCCCCCTCATCGAGCCCTTCGCTCCCCATCCAATTGAATCTTGCCGCGCCGGAAGAGGCCGTACTGACATCGGACCGTACGCGTAAGGTGAGCACTCGGAAAAGTTCCTTCGTTGAGCCAAACATGAGCACTTGCGGATGCATAGGAACATGTGGATGAGCTGTTGATGCTGTCGGGGGACGGGAAACCTGTACTCTCTCCACACTAACCATGGCAAAGCAGTTTCTCCATTCGCCGCGGGAGATCATCGGGACGAGGCCATCCATAACACCAGCTTCCGTACCGGTAATGGCTTCATCCTCATCGTCACCGCACGTCTCCAACTATCCCCCACTGCCCGAACAGGACGGCCACTACGCGCCCATCTATCCCAGCAGCGCGCAGGCGATTGATGGCCCACCTCAGCGCGTCAATTACGCGCCGCAGGAACCCTTTCCCAAGCTCGCCAACATCAACGAAGTCCTACAGGCCCAGCAAGCCCTTCACGCGAACCATGCCTTGACCGACCAACGCCCGTTGCAGCCGCATCCCCAGCTGCCGCCTGCGCAGCCACCGCAACAGAAGCCTAACCGGCTGCGCAAAGCGTGTGACTCGTGTAGCATTCGCAAAGTGAAATGTGACGAGTCTGGCCCGCCATGTCAGGCCTGCGTGGCTCTCGAGATCCCATGCACTTTTGAGCGACCCAGTCGACGGCGAGGGCCTCCTAATCGACACGCCGAAGCCATCAAGAAGCGACGCCTGCACGATGCGCAGTCTCAGACAGGCACGTCGTCGCCCCAGTCGCCCACCAATGCCGCCCACGCGCTGGCCCAGCTGCAGTCGTCGCAATTGTCGCAGCCAGCACAACTCTCTGCCGAGACCATATGTCCACTGCCTACCATGAATGCCCTCATCGACGACTTCTTCACCTACATCCACCCGCTCTGTCCGTTCCCTCACGAACCGTCCTTCCGGGAGGCGTGGGAACGGCGCGAAGACCTCAGTAATCCAGCATTTCTGGCATTGCTGGCGTCCATGATTGCTACTCTTGTCTCCTCCTTTCCTCGGAAACCGCGCCTGCACCTCAAGACACAATCCCGACACCAGTACCCCTCGCATCTCTCTCTCGTGGACAAGTGCCGCGAAGTCTGTAGCCAAGCCCGTGGGCCTGGCTACCTCGATCGGGCCAGTCTTAATGTGTATGATGCATGCACGAGTTACTTTCTGGGGTTGACAGGTGCCTATGTCTTCCAATGGCGTAAACTGAGGCTCTATTTCGCCGAGTGCTTGACCATCATACGCTCGCTTGGACTGCACAAGGCGGAGGCTCAAGGATATACACATCTAGGAAACGTGCCAACTGCGTGGGGTTCCAATGGGCCAAATTTCGACGGCTCACGCGATTCTAAGCTTGATCATATATCCGAGCAAATTGGCCGACGCCTCTTTTGGACCGTCTTTGCAGGCGTACGGTCAGTAGCATGTGTGATGTACAGCATTCCGCGCGGAGCTAACGACAGTTGTAGGACAATACAGCAACTAGGTGCTTCTTTTGGAGAGCTCACCATTGCTCCAGCAACACCGACGGAGCCGTTACCTCCACTACCTGTTCAAGTAGACGATGTACACATCTTCCCGAACGAGATTCAGCCTCAGCGGCCTGGCACAGTCTCCCTGATTACAGGTTTCAACTTAAACGTTCGGGTTTACTTGTCCTATTCATCGTTGGTTACGGCGGAAATGGCTTTTGGCATCGATGAAATCTTTGACTGGGATCGTCAACAACGCATATTCGAGCAGAGCCTGCAGCGCTGTAGACAGGTCCTCGAAACAATGCCAGAGATGCTCAAGGTGCAACCAAAGGCTGCAAAAGAAGGCGGGTTTATGCAGGGGAGGCAGCCTTATATTCCTCCCATGCCCGAATACTCGAACCTGAGGGAACCAGCGTTGAACAGTCTCAACAACCCTAACCTTGGTGATACCCGTCGTTACGAGATTCAGAAAGCCAATATTTATGCTAGCCATCTGGCGACTCGATCCTATTTGGTGGAAAAGTATTTCTTGCAGCTGGACAAGTACAACAATCTCAAACAGCAGGGGGCCCTCGCCAGCTCACCAAATGTGCTTGCAGCAGGCCTAGATCGGTTTGCGCCAGGAGTAGGTCCCCATGATGAACAACTAGAACAACTCATGTCCGAGGAGCGCGAACAAGTCGTAAAAGACCTCCTGGTGGTGCTTGGAAGCATCGACATGGTCAATATGGAGCCTAATGGCGATTCCTTTGTAAGTTTGCACCTTCATCACAAAGCTCTGGCATACTGTATGAGCCTTGCAATGATGTTCTTGTTGGCCTGTCCCATTAATTTTCTTGTACATGAATAAAATTGGCCTGAATATAAGCTTACAATGCATTCGGACACAGACACAGAAGATTCGATCAATTGCCAGTACTCTGCTCGAAGTTCCCAAGGAGAGACGGGGCAGTGTAGCACTTCAGCATCAGGACTACCTGTATAAGTTCCTGGATATCCTGAGTAAGTTGGAGCGGGTAAGCCCCGAAACTAGCGATCCGATGAGCAATACGATAGATGAGGAAACGGAGTTGCGGCTCTGGGCTGATTTGAGAGATCATCAGTTGAAATTCCAAGAGCAGGGTGGTGTTTATGGGTTTGCTTGAGGTGTCATGGACGGTATTCACAAAATTGGCGTACCTGATGTAGTCATGGATTAAATGTGGTCGGGGGCTGTTTGAGCTCAAAAACTTAGGCAACTATGTAGTGCATGCACTTTGCCGTGGGTAATGACTTGGGAAGGATCATGAGACAAATTGTCGAATAGAAGCAAGACTCTCATTCTTGTGTAATGATAATCTTGTGATGCCAAAATCAATAATGGACAAACTATTGTATACAGATTCTGTACAGGTCCCACACCTGTCTCTCTCATGAGTATTCTTCATTCGTGTGGAACGCCTAAAAAATCAAGACATGTTTCGTGCAAACAACTACTGTTCCCAGAGAGTACAGCAACCACAGCCCATTGCTCTTTGATGAACATCGCCGCGCATATGCATGTCCTCCATGACATTTCCCCCCTCCGCCCCCATCCAGCCTCTCCACAACAGACCCAGACCCTACGGCACGACAACGACCCCCAAGCTCGCCGCCTGCGCCACCACGCTCCTCGCAATTCCCTCCAAGCTCAACCCACTCAACCTCGCCTCACTATGCTTAATCTTCGCAATCTCATAGACATGCTTGAGACTAATGGTGCCGACAGTGCCCTTGACCGCATTTCCCACCGTCGGACTGCTCGTGCTCGTCTTGCCCTTTTGCCCCTCGTGGTTGTTCATCGGACCTGGGACATTGCCGGCGCCGCGGACCTTGTTCTTCACGGGGGCCACGCCGGCGGCGGAGAGCAGGAGGGTTGCGGTTGGGGGAGTGCGCAGCGAGAAGTGGAAGGACCGGTCGGGACGGACGGTTATGCGGGCTGGGACGGGGGTGCCGGGTGTGTAGTGGGCGGTGCGGGCGTTGAATTCCTGTTTGAGTTGTCAGGCATCGTTGCGCGTGGGAAAGGCGTGTGGACAGGCGTGTGGATGTGGAAGGGTGGGGATGTAAAGCTACCTTGCAGAAATCCATGCTCTTCACACCTTTACTACCCAGTGCTGGACCGACGGGGGGCGAGGGCGACGCTTGCCCTGCGCCCACTATCAGTTTGACGATTTGGTCTTTTGCTATTGCTTTTCGCGCCATGGTTGGGTTGTGGGCTGATTGGGTGGTGTGCTGGGGGGATATCTTTTGCGGAGTTGGGCTCGGAGGTGTCGGTCACTGGGTTTTTTCGGGGTGAAATTGAAGGGGTCCAGAACGGCGCTATGGTGCTGTTAAACCAGATTGAATTGATAGAAACTTGGACTGGAGATGTCATCCCAAATATTTCGAGAGCGATTGCAATGGCTTTCACAACCGTCGTCGACTCTGGGTTTTGCACGTGATCACGCGACAACGCTAGGGTCACTACCATTGCACCACTTGACGCGTGCCTATCCGCCACCCGGTGCGACTTTTGGACATCAACACTCTCTTCATGTTCGTTCGCCGTCCGTCAAGATAATAAGCAGAACACCGCGTAGCCCAGCTTATTCACCCAAGACTACCCCAATTGCTGAATGCATCGCCCAAAGGCCCTCGCTACTGGCGATTCAACGCCCGCGAAGCCTGCCGCACGGCTGTACGGCGGCACCCCACAATCGACCGAGCGTCTGATCAAGCCCTTCAAATGTCCCGGCTCTGCGACAGTTTCGCGCGTATCCGAGAAGCCTGCCAGGAAGAGACGAAAGGTCGACTATTCTGGTGCAGGAGGTGAAGATGGAGAGAGCGACAAGCCATATTCGAATGAGGACCGGCTGGCGCTTGCCACGCGCGACGCCAATCGCTTTCCGGTGTTCAAGCCAAAAGACAAGGAGATGATGTTCAAAGCAAAGTTCACGGTACCTCTCATCAACAAAGACACGGGAGCCTACAATCCGCACCGTCCGGCGCCGCTGCTTGGTATGCGGATAGGAACGGTGTTTGTTGCACGACCGTTACATGACCCTAGTGGGGAATTTGCCATTGTCTTGTACGATCCTACAGTTGACGATAAACCGATACCCAAAGAAGAGGCCGAGCCTAAGCTGAGCCAGACTGAAAAGAAGGAGTTGGAGGCACCTTTGGTACACAAGAGTTTGGCAGAGATTCTGGGGTTGAAGAAGAAGGTGGAAAATGAGCGGCCACGGGTACCAGTTGTCATAGATCCGAGACTTGCCAAAGTTTTGCGTCCTCATCAGGTTGAAGGTGTCAAGTTCTTGTACAGAGCAACGACTGGCATGATCGACCCAAAAGCCAATGGCTGCATCATGGCTGATGAGATGGGTCTTGGTAAAACTCTTCAGTGTATCGCTCTCATGTGGACACTGTTAAAGCAATCGCCCGATGCTGGGAAACCTACGATTCAAAAATGCGTTATTGCTTGCCCTTCAAGTTTGGTACGGAATTGGGCCAATGAGCTGGTCAAATGGCTGGGCAAAGACGCAATTACACCATTCGCCATTGACGGCAAGGCATCCAAGGAAGAGCTCATCCAGCAAATCAGACAGTGGTCCATCGCATCTGGACGTGCTGTTGTTAGGCCGGTACTCATTGTGTCCTACGAGACTCTGCGTCTCTATGTTGACGAATTTGGACAAACGCCCATTGGCCTTTTACTTTGTGACGAAGGCCATCGGCTGAAGAATGGCGAAAGTCTTACTTTTACAGCTCTGAACAGCCTCAACGTCCAAAGACGAGTCATCTTATCGGGCACACCGATTCAAAATGATCTTTCAGAGTACTTTGCATTGCTCAACTTTGCAAACCCCAATTATCTCGGCACACGAATGGAGTTTCGCAAGCAATACGAGATACCCATTTTGCGCGGTCGCGATGCTAACGGCACTGACGAGGATGTCAAGAAGGGCAACGAGCGACTTACCGAGCTGCTCGGCTTGGTTAACAAGTTTATTATTCGGAGAACCAACGACATTCTCTCCAAGTATCTCCCGGTCAAGTACGAGCATGTCGTCTTTTGTAACCTTGCGCCTTTCCAGAAGGACTTGTACAACCATTTCATCAAGTCCCCCGACGTCCAGAGTCTGCTTCGTGGCAAAGGCTCGCAGCCGCTCAAGGTTATCGGCATGCTCAAGAAGCTTTGTAATCACCCCGATCTGCTCAATCTACCAGAGGACTTACCAGGATGTGAGGATGTACTACCAGACGATTTTGTCCAAAAGGACGCCCGAGGCCGGGATCGAGAAGTCAAGGTCTGGTACTCTGGAAAGATGGCCGTGCTGGATCGCATGTTGGCTCGTATTCGTGCCGAAACGAATGACAAGATTGTTCTCATTTCCAACTACACCCAGACGCTTGACCTATTCGCTGCACTTTGCCGCTCGCGAGGCTATGGAGCCCTTCGTCTTGATGGCACCATGAATGTTAGCAAACGCCAGAAGCTTGTGGACAAGTTTAATGACCCCGAAGGACCTGAATTTGTCTTCCTCCTTTCTTCAAAAGCCGGTGGATGCGGTCTCAATCTCATCGGTGCAAATCGACTCGTGCTCTTCGATCCCGACTGGAACCCAGCTGCTGATCAGCAAGCCCTTGCGCGAGTGTGGCGTGATGGTCAAAAGAAGGATTGCTTTGTATATCGCTTCATCACGACAGGAACGATTGAAGAGAAGGTATTCCAGCGCCAGTCTCACAAGCAATCTCTTTCTTCCTGCGTCGTTGATTCTGCAGAAGACGTGGAGCGCCATTTCAGTCTGGACTCTTTGCGCGAGTTGTTCCAGTATCGCGATAATACTACGAGCGATACGCACGATACGTTCAAGTGTAAACGGTGTCGGAAAGAAGATGGGAAGCAGATCATCAAGGCGCCGGCTATGCTGTATGGAGACACGAGCTCTTGGAACCATTTTGTTAACGATGGGGAATCGGGGCCATTGGGCAAGATTCAGGATTTGCTATTACGCCAGGAAACGGCAAATGATCTTCGGGATGTCAGTGCTGTGTTCCAGTATATCAGTCATTGATTGGGTTCGTTGGGCGAGGGCAGGATATTATTATTTTTGAGCGTTGTAGTTACTTTGAGCGAACTTTATGATATTAATCGACATGATACGGGCCACACACTATCATGCTCCTGCAACTGGTGACGCCGGTTCATGCATGCCACGTGGACCCACTTTTCGGCGCCTTGGGGGACCCCTGCTCCCTAAGCGAGGCATCTCGCATCTCGCATGGTCCGAGCTTCGAGATTCTGATGTCGCCTGTCCAACATTCAACTTGTATCTCCCACATCTTTTCGTATAATCTGCTCACCGCTACAATCCTCCGGGCTCAGAAACGTACCGAAGGCTTTCTAAAGCATACCACCACACTCAGAGATCGCCCAATATGGATGCTAAGCGCCGCAAGCTGGGCGACCAAGACGTCAGCACCCTTCGTCTTGCCTCGCGGCAAAAGTACCTTGCAGAACGAGAAGCACAACAGCTCGCCCTTCTTCGTCGACAGGTTGCCGAGGAAGCCGAGGAGGAGGAGAGGCTTGGGTCGAAGCTTTCAGAAAGAGAACGCAGGGAGTTTGCTCGGAATCGCGAAACGCTGCGACTCGCCGAGCAGCGGAATGCTATAGACGAGCATCTGGATGGCTATATACTCCCCGATGCCGACTACTCGAATAAACATGAGGCGCTTACAAAACGTCACAAGGACAAGGAGTACCTGAAGAGCGAGGTGCAGCTTTGGGAGGATGAGCAGCTGGGCAAGATCAAGTCGCAGATTAAGCGGCCGGAGCGCGTGTCGGCCGACGACTACGACTATGTTTTTGATCCTGAAACACAAATCAAGTTCCAAGCAGACTTGGCCAGTCGCATCAATCCGGAGCGACGAGCGCTGGAAGCTCAACTGGACGCTGCGGAGAAGAAGGCGCGCACAATCGAGGAGACGAGGAAGAGTCTGCCGGTCTATCAGTATAGGGAGGAGCTTCTGGATGCTCTGACCAAGTTCCAGACGCTTGTCGTTGTCGGAGAGACGGGTTCGGGAAAATCTACACAGATACCGCAGTTCCTGTTTGAGGCTGGATACACCAAGGAGGGAGCGGTCGTAGTGACCCAACCGCGGCGAGTGGCTGCCATGAGTGTGTCACAACGTGTGAGCGAAGAAATGGGTGTCAAGCTCGGTCGTGAGGTCGGCTACAGCGTGCGATTCGATGACAAAACAAGCGACAAGACGGTAGTCAAGTTCGCCACAGACGGTCTTCTCCTCCGTGAGGCAATGGCAGATCCCATGCTCTCCAAATACTCTGCCATATTGATCGACGAGGCTCACGAGAGGTCTACAGCGTCCGATTTGCTGCTGACGATTTGTCGTGATATTGCAAGAGCTCGGCCAGAGCTGAAGATTATCATTTTATCTGCGACCATTAATGCTTCGCATTTCTCAAATTATTTTGATGGCTCGCCCGTCTTTGCGATTCCGGGTCGTACGTACCCTGTCAATATTAATTACACCAGTTCGCCAGAAGCAAATTATCTTAGTGCCGCTGTCACGACGGTATTCCAGATACATATTGCTGCAGAACTACCAGGGGACATATTGGTGTTTCTTACGGGTGAAGAGGAGATTCAAGCTGCCATGGAGAACATCGAATCGACACTAAAGAAACTTCGGGGCACAGTAAAAGAGTTGATTGTATGCCCCATATACAGTGCACTTCCGCCTGACGTGCAAGCAAAGGTTTTTGAACCCACACCTCCTAACAGTCGGAAATGCGTGTTGGCAACAAATATTGCCGAGACATCCATTACCATCGACGGCGTGCGCCATGTGATTGACTGTGGCTTCTCAAAAGAATCCACATTCAATTCTGCCAACGGCGTCAGCTCTCTAGTCATCAGCCCAATCTCGCGTGCGAGTGCAAATCAACGAGCCGGTCGAGCCGGTCGTACGAGCGAAGGATACTGCTATAGACTCTACACCAAGCACGCCTTCTACAACGAGCTCCCCGAAGTTACCGAGCCCGAACTCCAACGCACAAACCTCGATGGCGTAGTCCTCACCCTCAAAGGCTTGGGCGTCTCCAACCTCCTCGACTTTGAATTCCTCGACCCGCCATCAAGCCAGTCTCTAATCAAGAGTCTTGAAGGCCTATACGCCCTCGGCGCCCTAGACTCCACAGGAACTCTAACGCGGCTAGGACGGAAAATGGCTGAACTCCCGCTCGACATCAAACTCTCCAAAGCCATCCTCGCCTCTGAAAAATACAACTGCCGCGAAGAAATCCTCTCCATCGTCAGCGTCCTCGGCGAATCCGCCTCCCTCTTCCTCCGCCCCAAGGACAAGAAAATCGCCGCCGACGCCGCCCGCGCCCGTCTCTCGTCCAAGGAAGGCGGCGACTTCCTCACCTACCTCAACATCTGGAACCAATTTGAAGAATCCGGCTTCGACCCACGCTGGTGCGCCGAATACTTCCTCCAGGTCCGCAGCCTGAATCGCGCCCGCGATGTCCGCGACCAGCTACTCAAACTCTGCGACCGCGTCGAGCTGCCCAAGTCGAGCTGCGGAATCGCAGACCATGT